ACGCCCTATGGGGTGGGTGCGTACTGGTGATGATTCCCAAACTAGGATGAAACAGCAGCTGTCCAGTACTCCCTGGTTTTCAATAGTTCTCTAATTGATAGCAGTCTGTGATCAACTCGTAAAACATAACTAACCCTTACAAAACAAACTATAGAAAACTCAATGTTAATTTAAATGACGACTGCTCAGTTGAGTATTATGTCTAGTATGTAACTGTAGAGCCAGATGAGGAGAGAGACAGCGGGAGAGAGATAGAGAAACTTATCGAAAAGAGAATATTCTTTGTACTAAATGTCTAAATGAAAATTTTCACTGTAATGACGGACTCTATTTCGTCATGCGTAAATGAGTTAGTTATGTGGGAAATATACGTCAATAGAAAAAAACAAAAGATGTCTACAACTCCAAAACTAAACTAATCAATACAGTTAAGTTGAAAGCAAATAAACAAAAATAGAAAATAAGCCAATAAGAAATTAGGAGAGGCGTTAGGTTTTTGTTTGGAGAAGGATAAACAATATCTGTAAAAAATTATATTTGTAAAATCTCAGCGAGATTGAAATGAGTAATTCCAACGTTTCCTGCGTTCGACAATCTGGTCCGAACTTCTTCAGGGAAATTAATCGAAATTAACATAACAGAGGTTTATATATAAAAGGAACATCACTTGTTTTTAAAAACTATGTCCAATCATGAGTCATTCAACAAGTATAATAAACGAAATTTTATGAGCTGTGATCAAAATTTGACCTCAGACTTGTTGATACTTGTTAAATGATTCATGATTGGACAAAGTGTTTAAAAACAAGTGATGTTCCTTTTACATATAAACCTCTGTTATGTTAATTTCGATTAATTTCCCTGAAGAAGTTCGGACCAGATTGTCGAACTCAGGAAACGTTGGAATTACTCATTTCAATCTCGCCGAGATTTTACAAATATAATTTCTTACAAATGTCTACTTCTCACTCGGCGCCCAAATATTTTAGAACTATTCTGTCAAATCTTGACGACAGTTCATTTGGATAAACAATATCTGTTGGTTAGTACAAATAGATAAATGACTCATTGACAAGAAAGATTTCAATGAAATAATGATTTTCGCACCACCACTAGAACAACAACAAATTGGAGTACAAAGAAAGAGGAGCTGTAGATGAAAAGGTTACTTTTATATTTCCTTAAAGTACACATTGGAAAGAAAAAAAAATAATAGTGGATTCAAGTAATCAAAATTTTAAAAAAAACCCATCAAGTACTGCTTTTAATAATTCTTGATGTCTGTCTCAGTAGACAAAATGACATGTGTGGCTTTTTTAAGAAATTATAACCGGTGAGGGACTTGAATTAAAGGTGCGAATACATAATAATAATAATAGTAGTAGTAGTGTAACAACAGAAGACAAGGGCCAGGCAACAGATCCTTTATTTAAGGAAAATCAACACATTTATAGATTTTAATGTACATTATTGTAGATTATTGTAGTAGTAGAAAATACGGTCTTTTGATTGGTTGTTTCTCACTGAAAGTTAACCCTGCATCTCTTTGTGGCTGTGTCAGATCATCCATATGTTAACTGTATCCGCCTACGCAAAGCCTTTGTTCTCATTTTCTCACCACCAATATTGGGGACATAAACATTGACGTCAATTACTGTCTACCAAATTTGGCTAGCAGCCAGCTCTCACCGCAGTAGTATGAAATGCAATTAAAATATTTTTGATTCTACGAGTTGACCACTGGTTGATATCAGTTAGAGAACCATTGAAAACCAGCCACACGGAGTAATGGACAGCCAGCTGTTTCATCCTAGGTTGGGAATCATCCGCAGTATGCACCCACCCCACAGGAGGTTCGAACCCAAGACCTTCGGGTTACAAGGCAAGCTTGTCTACCATTCAGCAACTGGGACCCGATTCAATCAATGGCCAGCCCATGAATTCTAACTTCTACCAGTTCTTGATTTAGCGCGACTGGCACCAACCAATGTCATCGGTGGGAAATCCATCCTCACTCCCAACTGGATAGACTTCACTGGTCACGACTCCTCACTAGAACTGAAGGAAACTCTGTCCTGAATCAAGTCACTAGCGAGCATCAGATTAATTTTCCATAGTTGGTTTGTAAGGATCAGTTTTGTTTTTACGAGTTGATCACGGATTGATATTAGTCAGTGGGTGCGTACTGCAGATGATTCCCAAAAATGGGATGAAACAGCTGTCTAGTACTCCCTGTGGCTGGTTTTCAATAGTTCTCTAACTGATATCAATCCGTGATCAACTTGTAAAAACAAAACTAATCCTTAAAAACCAACTATAAAATTTTTTTGATTCTAATCATAGTTAAATGTCAAGTAGCGAAACAATTCATGTCATATATAGAATAATACATAAGGTGTATAGATGTTGGAAATGGGTAGTCTAATATAAAATGTTACATAATATGGTGTGAAATTTGATAAGATAGAGTTCAATATCGCAAAAACGTTTTGATTTAGAATGACCAATGGAAACAATTCAAATTGAAAACAATAATAGTAATAATAATAATCGTAGTAATAAGGGAAACGTACATAGATTAACTAAATAAACAAAATACATAAATAAATAAATGTCTATCCCTCTACGACCAAGGCAGAAGTAGGGGTTGTACATACTTCTTGTGTACACAAAGGTCTGGCTTAGAGTCATGAATCGCCAAGACCTCCATTGTCTTTAGAAGTCTGTAACGAAGGAAACGCGGTCAGCAAGTTAGCGTGGATCCTGTAGATGATCTTAAAGTCATGGTCAGGGTTGGCAGAGAGTGACAGAAGTCGATCAGGTGTTGTAGAATAGACCTTCACACACACTTCCTTTCTCCCTACTAATCCTATAATTGTGCACCCCTTTCCAACATCTATACATCTTATGTATTATTCTATATGTGACACTGATTGTTTTGCCACTTGACGTTTAACTATGATTATAATCACAAATATTTTAGTTGTAATTGCATTTCATACTACTACTATTATTATTCCATGTATTCACACCTTTGATGTAATTCCCCCACCGGATATAATTTCCTAAAAGCAAACTATGTATATACGATTGTACAGCTTGATAATAAATTCGTTGGAAAGAGTGTCGTCGCTGAATGATCACTTGTTTTGATTTTCCACGTGTCCCGATGGGATATATGCTTTCAAAATTCGTCTGCCGAAATCAGGTAGTAAGACGTTGTTTACTGCAAAACTACAAATGACTCTCACCAGTAGCAATTGGTTCTCCATCTCTGTATTAAAAGATAAGTTACCTCCTCTGACCGCCTCCATATACTTCTGCTCTTGTGGAGCAAGGTACATTGACCGTAGCCAGAGAACGCTTTCAACAAGGATACAAGAGCACATTCCAATATGGCTTTACAAGGGAGATGAGAACCGTGTATGAAGCTCTATTCTAGAACACTTGATGGACTTCTGTGTCGCTCTATCAACCGCGAGGCTGATTTTAAGATCGTTTATCCGATTAATGCTAACTTTCCACATTTTCTTCGTTCTAAACTTCTGAAGACAGTGGAATCCTTAGCCATTCATGAACTCAAGCCAGACAGACTTTTCTTTACAAAACAAGTATGTAAAATCCCTATTTCTACCATGGCAGTAGTAGAGAGATAAACACTTATTTACTTTTCATTTTGTTTATTTAGTTAACCTATAGTACCTTTCCATCGTTACTACGATTATTAGTATTATTATTATCATTTCTGTTACTATTACTATTCTCACTTTGAGCTGTTTATCAGTAATTTTTCACTTGTCCCACTTGTCATTCTAAATCAAAAGTTATTTTTGTAATGTTGAACAAACTACAGACGTTCATCAACAGCTAGCTGTCTTCGCTGAATACTACTCAAGATCAGATGGCCGACCAGAAAAGATCAGCAACAGGAAGTGATCTCTGGCAATGAACCAACGAACCAACCCAGTAGGAACCGATTGTGCAACAAATATGCAGGAAGAAATGGAGGTGGGTTGGCTGGCCATACTCTGAGAAAACAAACTATCAAAAGAGTGACATCACACACCAGGCCATTGCTTGAGTAGAAACCGAATAGGAAGCGGCGAGTTGGTCGTCACTGCGAGGGTGTGGTGACATGGAGGAGGTCATACGATGAGGAGATGAAAGAATGTGGAGAGACGTAGAGCGAGGTGAAAACGTTAGCAGATAACTAAACGCAGTGGAGACGTGAGGCTGAAGCCCTATGTTCCTTTAGGAACTAAAGGAAACAATAATAATAATAATATTGTGCCACTTGATATTCAAGTGTGATTATAATCACAAACATTTTGATTGCATTTCATACTACTATTATTATTTTATGCAATCACAACACTGTTTAAATTTCCACACGGGATATAATTTCTCAATATACAAAACTGCCTATATATATATATATATATAACTCACTGTCATTGGTTAAAATTTTTTATATGTGAAGCTATGTTAATTAGGGTAAAGCCTGGAGAAACAATAATGTTCGCTTATATGTGTCTTGTTCTAGTCGTTAAAGTACCTTATTCTAGTAAGAGTGTTGATAGTTCATTGATAGAATTCTGATGAACCACACACTTGATCCCGCTTTGATTCCAAACTGCCGATGCACTCCTAGACCTCAACCAGATAGCGGTAGTAAGCCTGGTAAAGAAGGAAGACGGCTGAAAGTGAGGCTAGCAACTCTCCGCCCTGAAAAGAAATACCTCTGCTCATGAAATTTCAAAACTTGGAGGTTGAAGCCCTATTTTCACATGGGAATGAAGAGGAATGAAATTCTAGTAGGATAGCGAAACAAAAATACTTCGGAGGAATAGAAATCCATATAGAAAGAAGTACCACTGTACCACCATACAATGAATGACCTTTCCAAAAGTATTTACTTTGATTGAAGGATAATCAATGTAATAAATAAATAAATAAAAATTTCTAGCATAATTCATGAAAAGAGGAGTACACAAACTCACTTTTTTATAGCATATCTAACAGTATCTTCATTATGACTAGCTACCATAATATTCACTTGACCAAATTTACGTTTTTTCATAGCCATAAACACACGTTCCAAACAGGCTTCATACATTGCTGATGTAGCAGCATAATTTGCACAAATTGGATCTTCATAGCCTAATTCTTTAGCTCGTGCACGTTCCTAAATCAGTGTAATAAGAAAAAGAAGCTTCTAAGGCTTATGTTTAATGGCATCTTAAAATTATTGAATGAAGAAGGTATTAGATATACACAATAAATGGAACTGCACATGTCAAGTGATCCACAACGGAAAACTCAGCGAAGCGTTTGGAGTAAACACAGGAGTCAGACATGGGTGCTTATTATCACCAATGATATTCCTAATTGTGGTGGACTGGATTATGCGTCAGACAGTGGGAAACGAGAAGACAGGGATATTCTGAACCGACGTGAAGAACCTAGAAGACCTGGATTTCGCGGATGACTTATGTTTGATGTCACACAAAATCGAAGACTTACAAGCGAAAACCGACAAACTGGTCGAAGAAGCAGCTGGTGAAGACAGGACTCCAGGTGAACATAGACAAGACGGAGGTTATGAAAATAACAAACCAACAACAACAACAGCAGCAACATCCAGCACCAATCACCATCAACGGGAGGGATTTGAAAGAGCTTACTTCATTCACTTATCTAGGGAGCATTGTCTCAATTACAGGAGGAACGGACGAGGATGTCAAATCGAGAATCGGGAAGGCGAGAAACACATTCATCAACCTGAAACCAATCTGGAAATCTTCGTCACTCAACTCAGCATCAACAACAAAATTCGGATTTTCAATACAAACGTCGTCAGTCAGTTCTTCTCCATACGGATCAGAAACTTGGCGGGTCACAAAGAATATTTGGAACAGTCTGTTGCAGACCTTTGTCAACAGCTGTCTTCGTTCTATACTACTGAAGATCAGATGACCGGAAAGAACAAGAACCAACAAGGAACTATGGGAACAAACAAAACAAGAACCAATCGCCCAACAAATATGCAAGAGAAAGTGGAGATGGATTGGATACTCGCTGAGGAGGCCGCTGGGTGACATCGCGCGTCAGGCCATTGCTCGATTGGAACCCGAAAGGGAAGCGGCGAGTGGTTCGTCGGTGCAACGGTGACATTGAGGAGATCGTGTGAAGAAGAGTTGAAACAGTATGGACTAACATGAATGCAGGTGAAAAGTACAGCAGAAGACAGAAGCAAGTGGAGACGTGCAGTTGGAGCCCTACTGTCTACTAGGAACCCAAGGGAATAATAATAATAATAATAAATGGAACTAAACCTAATATCAATATTACAAGTATATGTTTTTGGTATTAGATGGTTGGAGTTAATCGGCCACTGGAGGCCCTGCTGGGACCTAGGTTTCGTGCTAGTTGGCCCTCACCAGTCGTCAGCAAGGCGTATCTGGAACCTCGAAGGAAGGAATTCATGAATCACGAAAACCCCTCCCAACAGGCCGTAAACTTTCATCAACCCCTGCCTTCGCATGGTACTGGAGATCAGTTAGCGGGTCGATCAGAAAGGATAGATGACAACAAAACTCTAGCAACGAACCCAGCCAAGAACCTTTTGCCTGACAAATAGGCAGGAGGTAATGAGGGTTGATTGAATATATTGCTGAAAAGACCGTTGAGTGATATCACGTGTCAGTCAGTCAGTCAGGCTGTCTAAAAATGGAATCCAAATGGTAAGTGGGCGATGAGAGCGGGCATCAACCAGAGGATAGGTGACATGGAGGAGTTTATGTAAAGACGAAATGAAAGGCTGTTGGCAGTCATGGAACCACCCAAGAAAGATTGCAGGGAACAGTATAATGAAATGGCTATGACAGAGATTACCTCCTTCACTTATATGGGAAGCATCGTTTCAACTACAAACGGGCGGCATAGATGAGGATGTTAAACAAAATCAGAATCGGAAAGGTAAGATACACCTTCATAAGGCTGAAATCAGTTTGGAAATCTTCTGCACTCAGCCAGAATAAGGAACAAAATTCGGATTTTCAACAACAATGTGAAATTGGTCAGTGCTTCTATGCGGGTCAGAAACTTGCACTGCATGTCACAAAAACGATTTCCAACAGGCCACAAGAAACTTTCATCAACAGCTGCCGCCTTCACTGGCTGGTTCCATACTGAAGATCAAATGGCCAAAAAAAGAATTAGTAACAATAAAATCTGGCTGGGAACAAACCAACCAACAGGTGAGGGCCGATCGCTCAACAAATATGTAAGGAAACCGTCGGATGACATCATGCGCCAGGCCCTCACAAATGGAATCCAAATGGGAAGCGACAAGTTGTTCATCCGAGGGTGATATGGAAGAGATCGTGAAAAGAGAAGATGAGAGATTATAGTCAATCGTGGACCCAGCTTAAGAAAAGGACGGCAGAAAACAGAACAAAGTGGAGATGTGTTGTTGTATTAATTTCTGTTTAATGTCTACTGTTTACGGATGGCTATTCACACAAATTTTTAGATGGAGAAAAAACATCAATAAACATCAGGTACGATGTGACAAAACATATTGATAAAGAAACCAACAAAGCTATTATACTGCCTACCTGATCCATGTAAGCACCACGAACAAGTTTTGCACCGAAATAGAAATTCTCTGTAGCAGCGTGATGCAAATCTTGATCAAGAGTTTCAAGAGCATCCTAAAGAATTGAAAAAAAATAATAAATGAAAGTTGAAGAAATATCTCAAATACAGTTGCAGACACATTAGGAGTAATGGATAATGACTAGCAGTAGAATACAGTCAGGATGGGCATTTCGTCCTATTTGTGACTCATCCAGCAGCTGTTGATGTACCTCCATTCTCCAGTGAATGAGTCGATGATGATGTTCCTACTGAGGCTGGAACCGAGTACCCATCGTTTCAAATGCCAAAGACCATTTCAGCCACAACAACCACCACGTCTTGTGCTGCAACTGGTGTCAGTTATTACTGAATTCAATCAACGAGAAACAACATAAAAGTATTCAAGTCTTGATTTGTAGGGATTTGGTTGATTGGTTACAGGATTTCATCATGAGCTGACATTGGATAGAGAAATACTGGAAAACCTGGGAGTACTGGATAGCTGTTTCGTCCTAGTTTGGGACCCTTCAGCGGTACGCGCGATATTTCGTGAATTGGCAGGAGTTAGAATTCATGTGCTGGCCATTGGACTGGCGGGTCCCAGTGGCTTGATGGTCTACGATCTAGCTCGCTCGCCTTGTAACCAGAAGGTCCTGGGTTCGAACCCCCTGTGGGGTGGGTGCGTACTGATGAAGAGTTCCAAACTAGGGCGAAACAGCTGTCCAGTACTCCCAGGTTTTCCAATGGTTTTCTAACCAATGTCAGCTGATGATGAAATCCTGCAACATAAAAGTACTTGTCGTATTTTTGTTCCAATAGCAAATTGAGGGCATTAAATGGCTTGTACAATACTAACCCCCTGTTTAAAAAAAATATGAGAGAATGTAATGTTTCTTTTTCTTCATTTCCTTACGTTCCCAGTGGAACATTGGGCTTTAAGTAAGTTTTACTCACTGAAGTTTCAGTAGTAATGGAACGGTTTTTTGTTTTTAAGGAATGAGGTTTCTAGCCTTACGCTCAACCACCTTCCTTCTTTGTTGGGGTTTAATATAACAGAGCTAGATGAGGTTAAGGCGTGTGTTTCAGCCGGGAGTTGAACTTCTGACCACTGGCGTGATTGGTGGATATTCCACCGATACACTCACTAGACAACAGTAAGTGGAAAAGTATTTCAACAGCTCACTTGAACTGTATACTGAGTGAATGTTAGGGAAATACAGTAACCATGAAAAATGATACATTTTCTACGCATATAGACCTTATATAACAGGATAAACTCTATCTATGTAATGTATGAGAAGACGGAGGTGATGAAGATAACCAACCAACCAACAGCAATAACAACAACAGCCAGCACCAATCACCAGCAACGCGAGGGATCTGACAAAGGTTACTTCCTTCACTTATCCGGCCAGGAAGCACGGTTACAACCCCAGGCGAATGGCACGGATGAAGATGTCAAAACCAGCCAGTTAGAAGCAGAAAAGCAAGATACGCATTCATTAAGCTGACACCAGTTAGGAAATCTTCTGCACCAACTCAGTATACACATCAAGATTCGGATTCTATCCAACATAAGTGTGAAGTCAGTCAGTCAGTTCTTCTATATGGGTCAGAAACTTGCACTGCGTGTCACGAAGACGATTTCCAACAACAGATGCTTCTTTCTCTGGCTGGCTCCATACTGAAGATCAAATGGCCGACCAGCCAGAGAGGATTATCACCAAGAAACTCTAGCTGACAACAAACCAACCATGAGCCGATTGCTCAACAAATGTGTAGGAGAAAATGGAAATGGATTAGGCATACGTTGAGGAGATCGTCGAATGACATCTCATGCAATGCAGGCCATCTCTGGAGTTGAACCCGAATGAGAAACGACGAGTTCGGTGTGATGTCGGGGGTGGATAATGAGGAGATTGTGTGGCGAGGAGGAGGAAGAGGAGATGAGAGATTATGGGCAATCGTGGACCCAGGTGAAGAGGATAGCACCAAATAGAAGAAAGTGGAGATGTGTTGGTGAAGCCCTGTTATGTTCCACTCGGAACCCAAAGGAATAATAATAAATTGAATATTCCCATAATTTATTCAGAACAAAATAGTTACAGCTAACAAATGTCGTTTCAATAAATTCTTCCCTCCTCAGGCTCTACAATTATAAATCCCCTAAATTTAAGTATACAACAGCCAAGCAGTAAAGACAAATTAGAATCATATCAGAAAGTGTATTGTGGAACAAGTATAAGATGGGATGGAACAATAGTCAGTTAATTTTTTTTAAATATGCATGGTCAACGAGAACATGGGACAAAATCAGATGAAGTAATTTAATTTAATGGTGTGTGTATTTATAGATAAATATAGCTAACAGAAAAATACAGGAGTCGAGAGTGAGTGTAATCAGAGTGTGTCAGACAATATGAAAATACACCAGCGAATAGGGCGGACTAGACATCCCATCTTATACTTGTTCCACAATACACTTTCTGACATGATTCTAATTTGCCTTTACTGGCTAGCTATTGTATGCTTAAATGATAATTGGATTTATAATTGTAGAGCTTGAAACCACAATTGTTCGCTCTAACTGCTTTGTTCTGAATAATAATAATAATAATAAATATCAAATGAACTAGTACGAAAATTCATTTTTTTTTCAATTCATTTTAATACCATTTAATATGTCCAAGCCAAGTTCACTTTTAACAGTTTGAAGAAAATTAGGCATTGGGTATATGATATTCATTATAATAAAGATTTTTGTATTTCCCAATGAATGAACAATATCGTTTTGTTTTTCATTCATTGGGAAATACCAAAAACCTTTAATATAATGATCATTTTTATACCATCTAAATTGAAGGTTAAGTCATCCAACTACAGCTATTCGGAAGAGTTCATAAGAAAGCACGTTGGATACGAAAGTCGTAAAGAAGTGATTGATATTTACAAACAAGAGGTCACTCTATATCTGCTTTACAATTTACACCAAGTTGAAAAAGTAATCAACAAGGTATGGAAATCAATTCAAAGAACATTTAATGACGGTTAAGTGCATCTGATATTTCTCTACATGCATGGTTGTAATAGCCAATCAGAAAGATAAAGTGTCTACGCTAGTCCCCTCTTCCTGTGTATCTAACATTTCATTCAACTAGATTATATTGGTTGTTGTCTTAGGGACTTAAATTTTGTACCCAAGAGCACTCACCAGTGTGGCGTTATTGATGAAGATGTAATAAAAAGCACTACCAGTTAGATATTAGATCAATTCACCATCCAAGCAAACCGTTAAACAAATATAGAAGAATCCTTTACTGTAGTTTATCGTGTACCACCTAACAAACTACCAAAGGTCACCAGGTATCAAATACTCCATCAGCCATAGAGCAATTTGCTTGAAACAGTCAGAACTTAGTATAAAAAGAAGGAAGGAACACAAGTCCATTCACTATTGCTGTCTTAGCCTGCTGTGAATCTATAAATTCCATAAACTGTGCTATTCCCTTCGTCCTGTTTGTATACAATCCCGCCATCCCATCCAACTCCACACACACTCACACACATAAACAACCTTCTGACACATTTTCCCTGCCCCTATGTTTGATGATGTTATTATTAATTATGCATTCATCATGTGAAGTTTATAATCAGATTGAATAAAATTTAGACGAAGCAATAAGATGTCATTTATATTGGAATCATGTAATGTAATGTTGTCTTGTGTAACACATTTCGAATAATCTGATCACATATGGACTTTTTACGAGTTGATCACGGATTGATAACAGTTAGAGAACCATTGGAAACCAGCACTGGAGTACTGGACAGCTGTTTCATAAGCCTAGTTTGGGAATCATCGGCAGTACGCACCCACTGGGATTCGAACCCAGGACCTTCTGGTTACAAGGCAAGCACTTTGGGTTCGAATCCCAGTGGGTGCGTACTGCCGATGATTCCCAAACTAGGCTTATGAAACAGCTGTCCAGTACTCCAGTGCTGGTTTCCAATGGTTCTCTAACTGTTATCAATCCGTGATCAACTCGTAAAAAGTCCATATGTGATCAGATTATTCGAAATGTGTTATACAAGACAACATTACATTACATGATTCCAATATAAATGACATCTTATTGCTTCGTCTAAATTTTATTCAATCTGATTATAAACTTCACATGATGAATGCATAATTAATAATAACATCATCAAACATAGGGGCAGGGAAAATGTGTCAGAAGGTTGTTTATGTGTGTTTTTTCGATCCCTAGCGCGGGGGAGGGGGTCATGCATGAGTACCGCTGAAGAATCCCAAACAAGGATGAAACGTCTGTTCAGTATTCCGTGCTGGTCTTCAATGATTCTCTAACTGAAGCTGATTCGTTATTGAAAATTGAAATTACAAATATTATCAATATCAATTATTCCTTAACTGCTTTCCGAAAGGGAATATGGGGGTTCCAAGCCGGTTTTTTGAAGTTGGCCGGAGTTGCCAGACTAACACCTCCACTAACCTTTCCAATTTTCCGGGATTATTGCCGACTAGTAAAGTAAGGTAGGGTGGGGTAGTGATAGGATCCCACACACTTTGTTATTGTTCAATTATCTTAACGACTGTTAATCTCGCATAAGTGGTATATCATCATTTCCCACGCATTTTGTTATTGACTATTACGACCAATTATTTCAAATACTGCTGGCTGTCTGTATTGGTTGTAAATAAGTTGCTTTATCGTAGTTGTTGTACTACAATATACATTCACAGACCAGCTTTTGTCTTTTGATATTTGCGTGGTTCGCTGAATCGGAAAGTACCAGAAGCAGATAGGCATATTAGTCAGTCGCAGACAGAACAAGGCGACAACGTCCTCATTTAATTCCCCTACAGTTATAACAGGTAGGGGAGGGGAGGATGAGCAGTGGGTCGGTTGGGAATCTGACCCGAACCATGTGCATAGTTGGCTAGTGATTCTACCCATGCAGCCACCCATACATACACTCTGTACCTGATATGCGTCCGGAACCCGAAGAAGCGGTTATCTACATATATAAGGAAGGTGACTTATAAACGCCAAATTAAAAAAAACAATAATACAAGAACAACATACCTTTAGATAGCATTGATAAGTGCCATATATTACAGGTCTATCCTTGTTAAATAGACGCATCATTTCAATAGTCAATCTTCGGATAGCCGGTTGAAAGTAAGACTGTTCTGCATCCACCATAAGTCGTACACCAGCAGATTTTGCGTACTAGGTTAATGCAAAAATAAAACAAAATGAAAAATAGTTATGAAATTTTACATATATATGATTTAGAACAGCACATATAAGCGAACAATATTCAGGTACATCCAGTTGACGAGTCCCAAATAGGACGAAATGCGCATCCTGGATTCCACTGCTAGTCACCATCCATCAATTAAATACTAATTAAATGCCCAGACATCGTCGAAGCATCTGCTCAAGAAGCCGACATGTCAACCTGAGACCGAGCACTTCGGTCCAATCAATCGAAAAGGGAAAATCCAAAATTCAATTAAATCAATATGGCCCGTTGCACAAGAGGTAGCTCTCGTGGTCCAAGTGGTCTAGTGGATAACGCTTCGGCGTTTGAAACCATGGGTACTGGGTTTGAGCCTCGGTGGGAACATCATCACTCACTGAGAAATGCAGGTACATCCAGCTGACGAGTCCCAAATAGGACGAAATGCGCATCCTAGATTCCACTGCTAGTCACCATCCACCAATTAAGAACAATATTGTGCTTACAATTAGATCTCATCATCACGCTTAACTCTAATATGCAGACACAACTCTATACAAATAAATATTCAAATATATAAGCCAATCACGCGTTGTTTTGTCAATCGGATAATAAGATTGTGTAGTTTTATGCAGCAAACCGGTTTGTCATTCTCTAACCGACGAATGATTGGCACGCAAATGAAGGATAGATAGCTAGATAGTTTTGCCACAACTATGTGCATTTATCAATTCAACTGCACCTGTGGTGTCAGTTATGTTGAGCGTACTACTACTAGACAGCTTAGCCAACGTGTCACTACTGTACATTACCCAGACAGATAAAACCAATCTGTGGCTCCATTTTGTCACATTTAGTTGATAGTGGTCATCAAGTGGAGAAAACGAAAGATTAAGAGGTTGTTCATCGTATCCCACTGAATCTTTCCAATAGACTTTGTATTCGTCTAGTGCACACAGCTGAGGCGATAGGCATTCAAACTATTAAGCCTAAACTATACATTCATTCAAAAGAGGTTCATACAGCCATTATCCTTCCGTTGTTGGCCTATTAAGACATAACCAAATGATGACTTCTCCACCACCCCTTACTTATATTTTCAACCCCTCTCTTATTATCCCTTAATCTTATCACATCTTCATTAAAAACGTGTTTCATTTACTTCCCTTACAATCTAGCATTACTAAGTTGATCCATTTGTTTTTCTTAGCCTTTATCGACTACTACTACGTCTACCTGAACATTTGTTTGTTTAATCATGCTGTTTACTACCACAGTGCCCAAGTTTTACACATATATTAACATGTTGTTTTTCGTTATTCGTGTTATCCCAGATAGCCTAACTTTTTCTTCTTTGTAACTGATAGAATCATTATTATTATTATTATGACTAATTACATAATTTATAATGCACAATCTAATCTTATCCTATTGACAAAACACCGTGATTGGTTTATATATTTGAATATTTATTTGTATAGTTATGTCTACATATTAGAGTTAAGCCTGATGAGATCTAATTGAAAACACAATATTGTTCGCTTAAATGTGTTGTTCTAAATTTTACTATGGGAATATTTAATATATATATATATATATCGGTCGGTCGGTTTTCGACATAGAACTTTGCACAAATGTGCAGCAGTTCAAGTTGCCACACTCCACTCCATGTAGCACACAAAGCACGAGAAGAAAGTAGGAGAAATTCATATCAGAGACAGTAAACATAGGTGTGAGACGAAGAAATAGTAATAACGGAGAAAAAAACAGTTTCATTGGAAATCATGAGTCACAAGGAGTGGATGCATCTGCGCCATTGAGAACGATTTTGAGCCATATCACCAATTGTTTCCAACCATTGGTTTTTACCGTCCCAAGGACCCCAACCAGTCAGGAAGTCTACACCTTCCTACGTGACTGGCTTAAACTAACTGTTGTAGATTTCATTGACTGATGAAACCATGTTTTGGTTTGACCGCCGTTAGCTCTTTTCCAGCCTGACCCAATGTCAGCTAACATTACCCACTGTCGAGGAAGGCGATGGCTAGCCTAGGCATACGTAACACATGTCCTAACCACCTCAGTCGAAGTGATTTCACAGTCTCGTCGACTGATTTCCCAGCCTTACCTAGCACTCGACCGAAGCCTGACTTCAGTATTGCTCACCCTATTATACCACTTAACAAGGGAGATAGAACGCAGATACCTATGATCGAAGACAGCCAATCTTTTCATGTCTTCCACTCTCAATGGCCAGGTCTCACAGCTAGCCATAAAGGAGGACGGAGCGGACTGATGAGCAGTACTTACGCCCTTTGGTCGATAGTCGGATATCACGTCTACTTAGCCAGAGACAGCGTAAACTGGCATATGCGAAACTAGCCCTCTGTATTCGTGCTGAGATTTCGTCGGAGATCAACCTGTTGAGGCTGTTGGTACTTCCCAAGTAAGTGAAGCGGTCAACGTGTTCTACCACTTCACTTCCTATTTCTAATCTATATATATATGTTTATATACAATAAACGAATATTGATTAAAACATTGAAAAGATATTTTTAATTTGTACGCAAAAAAGCTGAGGAATTAACAAAGTTTTAAGTATTGGTTTTATACGGATTTTGTTTGATTGGTTGGAGGATTTCATCATGAGCTGACATCAGTTAGAGAACCATTGGAAAACCTAGGAGTGCTGGAAAGCTGTTTCGTCCTAGTTTGGGGCTCTTCATCAGTATAGTAGGGTGCAGCAGGTTGAAGGTGAGGACAATTACTCATCGAAGAAATTGCTTAGTGGTCGCGCTATGTTATGAATTGGCAGAGGTTAGAATTCATGGGCTGGCCATTGAACTGGTGTGCCTAGTGCCTTAATGGTCTACGAGCTAGCTCACTGGCCTTGTAACCAGAAGGTCGTCAGTTCGAACCCCGAAGGGCGCATACCGTTGAAGAGCCCCAAAGTAGGATGACGAAACAGCTGTCCAGTACGGCTTGTTGTTGGTTTTTCAATGGTCCTCTAACAGATGTCAGCTTATGATAAAACCCTTCAACGAATTAATAAAAGGCACAGGACATCATAAAATACTCCGATCACCCCAAAGTTATATGGTTTAGTCAGTTATATAGTGTTCTAAAAGGCTATGCAAACGCCTAACAAAAATCAGTTATTAGTACCAGCTGGTAACAACAACAAAACCATATGAAATTACATATCATGAAAAAAAAATAATGAATAAATTACGAAACTTAGTTAAGCCAACAATCTTAAGTTTTTTTATTCCTTTACGTTCCTAGAGTGGAACATAGGGCAGCTTCAAGCTAGATCTGAAGTTTCGGTAGCAGTGATGTTTATTTATTTTTATGGGATGGGGTTGCTAGCCAGCCTTATGCCCAACCTTCCCTATTTACCAGTCTTATTCCTGGTTTAGCGAGATAAAGGAGTGCGTCGGTGGCCAGGGATCGAACCCTGCACCACATGAGGCATAGTTGGCGAGCATTCTACTGCTGTGCCACCGACGCTAATCCAAAAATATTAAAGGATGAATATCGCTCAGTGAGTGATTATAAATAAAAACGATAAAAACTTGGAAGCATGAATATTTATTCATAACAGTTATCGATCAATAATACCAAATTATTGTACAAGGTGAAGAAGAGGAGATTTAAGGCAACAGAATTGAAAAAAGGAGTTTAACACACCCCTCTTCGTATGCACAGTTCAGGGTTGTCTTTTTGTATAACAAAAGCTTCTGCTGGGAACAGAAGAGGTAGCAGGAACCCTCTCTCCCACGATACGCCTTACGCTACATCATATTCACTTTGAAAGATTTCACTAATGTTTGTTTAAATTGGACTGTCAGGCTCCCCTGGTCGGTGCCTGTTCTAAGTTATCTATTGCGCGCCAGACAATGAAAATACAGCCACCTGACTCACCACACAGCAAGTCCATGCGCATTGCTAGCCATACAAAACTAACATTTGAAACCGACCAAGGTCAGAGTCCAGTAACTCCACATCAATGCACACTGAAGCACAGAAAGTAGCTAAATAACCAGTTTCCAAATGGACCAACACGTATCTGATCTCGGCCTGTCTGACTAGTTCTTCATAAAGTCAATCCTTCGCCAGAAGTTACGGATCCAATTTGCCGACTTCTCTTACCTACATTGTTCGATGGAGCTTACCTTAGAGAATATGGGTACGGCCTGCCACGAAAACTATACTGCCATGCTTGGATTCTCAAGGGCCGATAAGAGCATTCCGGACACCATAAGAAGGATGAGGCCTTACGGAGGCTGGTGTCTTTGAATTTAGGTCTCCTGTACCCTGTCAGGCTATAGAAAAAATCAGTGTTTCACATTCTTTACATGAACTGCACAGAAAATGGACAAATCGATAGAAAAAAAATATTGAAAATTAGTTTTTTTTAATTTTTGTTATTCCATTCGCGTTCCGAGCGGAAATTAGAATTTCAAGTTTTAGATATGAAGTTCCAGTGTAACAACAGAAGACAAGGGCCAGGCAACAGATCGTTTATTAAGGAAATCAACACATATTTATACATTTTCATGTACATTATTATAGATTAATGTTAGCAGAAAAGCACAGTCTTCTGATTGGTTGTTTCTCACTGAAAGGTAATCTTTCATCTCTTTGTTGCTGTCTCTTGAGTGTCAGATCATCTATCTGCTAATTATACCCGCCTACGCAAAGCCTTTGTTCTCATTTTCTCACCACCAATATTGGGGACATAAACATTGATGTAAATTAATGTCTGCCAATTTGGCTAGCAGCCAGCTCTCACCACAGTTGTAATTCATTTTACTATAAAAACATTTTATTTTCCATCTTATTGACTAACAACACTCGTCTTATTTCCCATCTGATTGTATTTTTATTGATAACACTCATATTATTATTTCTGAATGTACATTATCCTATATTGCTGATTTTATTCAACTGAATGTCTAATCATCAATTTTTACTCATGTATATA